TGTGGCACTTTAAAATAACTTTCGTACTAGGAAATTTTGTCATAAGATTCGTGTTTGTAAATTTAATCTATCTTGATCTATAATCAAACGCATTTAAATTTATAATTTTTAAATATTATAATATTATAGATATTAATGAAATTAAAACTAATATTTAATATTTACATATCGACTAAATGAAATGATGAAAGTGGGATGGAATTTGAAAATTAGGGACGAACGTAAAAATTTATGTTATGGGTGTGAATTTAAGAAGATATATTAAAAATTTTATGGGTGTAGAGTTATAAATTTTAGGGGTGTAAAATTAGATAATAAATAAAAAATACAACAGGAAAATTAAAATATAAACAAAATTAAAAACTCTAGGGTTGGACCGCACTCAGGACCCCTTCGGTGCATCCCTTGTTAGATCCAATGTGGAAATCTTTTATTGCAAACAATATATATCCAATAATTATTATTATTGAAATGGACCAAAAGCGTGTAAGGAGCCTACAGAAGTGTCGGTGAAATGTTGCTAATTAGCAATGGCACCATCAGCAACTTCATTGGAGTTAATTGCGTTGAATTTCCATAAATTAAGATCCCATTTTAAATTGGTCTTTAAATTTAAAAATATCTCATCATTCTTCAAAATTATGACTCCAATTTAAATTAGTCTAGAAACTTTAAAATATTATATATCAATCCTCAAAATTATTATCATTGTCCCATTTTAATTCTCCCACTGAGTATCATTAACTCTATTGATTAAAAAATAATTTATTTTAAGGTCTTAAATAAGATTGTAAACGAGCCGAGTCAAGTTTAAGTAGTGTTGAGCTTGACTCGACTAAAAAAAATCACGAGCTTAAAACTGTCAAGTTCACGTAGAACTTGAAATACAAAATTGAAGCACGACTCGAGCTCAAAAAACTTAAACATGAAATATTATCATACTTAACTCGATTAAAGCTCCAACTCAAGCTCGAACATGAACTTTAAGTACATGAAAGTCTTATATTGTATTTAAAAAAAATGAACAACATAGAAATGTTGATATTCTTAATAATTTAATTTAATAAAAAAACTAAATATTAATATATTATTTTTTTTAGTTGCTCGCGAGCTTTTCGACTTGAGTATCAAGTAGTTTCATTTGTCTCATTAAGAATTCGAGTTGAGTCCAATCGATTCAAGAGTTGACTGAGCTTTGATTGAGTCGATCTCAAGTAGCCAACGATCTGTCTCATCTTATTTACAGCCCTTGTCTTAAGAATTGAACACTTGACCTTCTAAAATATTCTTAGGACTTATAAAAAATAAATTAGTTTTTTTAATAAGTAGAGTTAGCGGCATATTAATAGAATGACAAAAATGAAATAATATTAATAATTTAAGAATTGATATAAAATATTTTAAAATCTAGAGACAAATTAAAATATGATCATAGTTTACGGGTTGATATAAATCATTTTAAAGTTTATAGATCAATTTAAAATAATAATAATAATTTAGAGATCCATGATACAATTATCTCTTATTTTTGTAAAAACAAAATAAACAAAGATTCAAAGAAGAGGGTTCTGCATGGTTTACAGCGCACGGTGCTCACTTTTGTCAAAGCAGCGCACCTTTGGGTCACGAGCTTTGCTCAGTCTCACTGTCTCCGCACATGCCAAAGCCTTTAAAGTATTATTTTCGGATTTTTCTATATTTATATAGCTACCCAATTTAATTTAAATGAAATGAATTAAATATTTTTTATTTTCATAAAAAATATCTATTTAAACATTAAAAATATAGGCTATTATATAAATCAAACGATCTCAGTAGTTAAGAGACTTGTTATTTCTTAAGATATCAGTTTTGAACATCGCGTACGTCAAGAGTGTGAATATTCATTGTCAAATAATTCAAGAGTTTTTCAACATATACTATCTTATATTTATCTCATATTTATTAAAAAATATATAACTATTGAAATTATACATAATTTTTATCACTTTTAATTATAATATTTTATAAAATCCATAAAATTTATATTTTTTTTTAGAATTTTAGTGGTTTTTACATTAAAAATAAGTTAATAAGATGATATTATATTTTTTATTAATCTTGGGTGATTATAAGGTATTATTGATTTGAAAGACTCAATTATTCGACGATAAATGCTTAAACACATTTGGCATATGATGCACTTGAATAGAAGCAGAGTTAGAAAATTTATTTTGGGGTCAAATTTAAAAATTGTATGAAGAAATTATTTTGAGTGGATGAAAATGAATAATGAATGTCAATTTATATTAAGAATGTCAATATTCTTTTAAAAATATATTAATTTTATTTGTATTTAAATATTTTTATATTAAATTTATATACAAAAAAAAATCAAAAAATATTTAGGGTGTCATATTTATAACTTGGCTCTATAAGTGTGCTTGAACCTGAAACCTTTAAAGATAATAATCATTCATTTAATTATTGTGTTAGATTAGTTCGTGTGGTGATATTATATATTAAATGTTAAAATTTTCCAAAAAATTTTTGGGGTGTCATATTTATAACTTGGCTCTATAAGTGTGCTTTTCAATCGATTGTAATCTTTAAAAATAAAGGATTATTTAATTCAACTTTGTAATGAAATGCTCAATTAAAATTTTAATTATTTTACAAGTGTTTTCACCATTCAATTAAAAATAATCATATAAATCGACATTAATTAATATATAATAAATATTCAAAGCTTTTTTTTGTAGGCACTTGTGAAAAATAATGCTAAATAATTTATAAAATATTTATTATTTTTGGGAAAGGGTTTATATTTTTTTATTGAGACAGTTTTCTCGCTGTGGGTCCCCAATTCAACTACTTAACTAACTCATGTCAGCACTTCAATGCAATACACCGTCCTTTTAAAGAAATAACTAAATTATTTATCGGTTATTTAAATGTTTATTGTATAACACCTATATTCTTGTTCATTACATTGAAAGGGCTGATTTTTTTTATAATAATGCAGTTGAAAAAAACTTATTTAAACTCTCGAAATTATTTCGTGAAATAGAATAAATGTTACCGTAAATAAAAATAAAGGGTGGGGACTTAACAAAAGATTATGTTTATTTGTCTAAAGATATTGATCCTCCATGGACAAATATATTGATTTTTTATTGAGAAAGCTACAAGTCCTACTTTCCAAGTGAAATGGATTCATTATTAAAGTAATTGTTTTGATAATTAATCACCCTTGAGGATAATTAAAAAACTATTTTTCTTCCTTTCTTGGATTTAATACATAAATTTAGAGCAATTTATCAATATATTATAAATTCTGATTATTATAACAAAATGATTTTTTTATTTCTATGTAATATTTAATTTATTAAAATATTTTTTTACTTATAATTAAAAAATATACATTTAAATATATTCAAATAAATTTACCGTAGAAATCAATTTATCTTATAGTCATCATAGATTAATATATATATATATATATATATATGTATATATACTGCATTAATTAAACAATTTTAATGATTAAAAAATTTATTATTATCTCTTAAGATCCGAGACTCGACCACCACATCGTAGGCAACGGCAAAGCTTGCTCGACATCAGGATTTAGGTTGTTCTTGGTTTAATAATCTACCAGTTTCGTTAGAATCTCTTTTGCAGAAGGAAGGTACTGTTGTTTAAGATTCCTAATTTCTTATGTTAGTCTATTTCCAGTGTTTATAAAAAAAATTATCACGTGCAGCAGTCTTAATATACAACTAAAAGAAAGTGTTATCGGTTTTTTATTTAAATTATCGGAAATATTATTATTTCTATCGGTTTTGTTATTGTTGGACACTTTACCGAAAATTTAAAAAATATTGATATTTTAGGTAGAAATAATAATGTTTTAGGTAATTTTTTTACCGATTTTGTTATTTAAATAATAACAAAACTGGTAAAGCATTTTTTAATTATATATTAAGAGTGTCGTACTGTAGAACTTCCCATTAAAATAATATCAATTTGATTAAGATTTAGTTAACGACTTTTTAAATTAATGATATGATAAATAATAATTTTCTAATATAATAAATAATTATTTTATCACTTTTAACGGATCCTTAATCAAAGGAAATCAATTTTGTCCCCACTCATCTTAATTCAGAAAAGTTTTTTTATATTAATTATAAAACATATGATTGAGTTGAGTTTGTATATCAAATCACATCAATTTAGTTATAGTATATTCGGAAAATTTTTAAATAATTATAAACTTGAATAATCATTTCATTAATAAATCTCGTTAAATTAAATGTATTTAAATCATCTCGATTACATTCTTCAACTGTTGAGTCACGGAGAAAATTGATGTAATTTCATAATTAATTACAATATTGAAATTTTGGGTAAAGTACACTTATGGTCCCTCAACTACAGAGTATTACTTTATTGAGTCCCCTGACTATTAAAAGTTAAAAAATTATCCTTCAACTACATGGTATTGTTTTGTTTAGTCAATCAAGTATTAAAATTTACAAAATATTCTCCAACTGTCCATATGTTCCAAAATCATCATTTTCGTCAAAAAGTGATGTTTTCTGAGCTAGACGTTAACATATTGACTGAGATATGATAGTCATTTGAATTTTGGGATCAAATTTTATCATACCACAATCAACATGTTAACGTCCAGCTCATATTGTTGTCAACCTTTTCAACAGAAAAGGATGAGTTTGAAACATATGAATACTCGAGTGACTATTTGTAACTTTTAATAGTTGATGACTCAACAAAGTAACGCCCTATAATCGAATGATCATTTTGTAACTTTTAATTGTAGAAAGATTCAATAAAGCAACACCCTATAGCTGAAAGACCAGTTGAGTACTTTACCCTTAAATTTTATAATTATAAAAAATAATTAAATTAATTTTGATAAATATTTTAAAAAAAATATTATAATAAAGTACACTAAGGAAATTTCCCGACCCAAAATCTCAAACTTTCTCCTATAAATACCCCCTCCACACCATTTCAAGCTTCTTCATCCAGTCCCTCTTCCTTTTCCTACATCACATTTCTCTTTGTTTTCCCAAAGAACTCCATGGCTAAGCTTCTTGTGCTTTCTTCTTGGTCTCATTGCCATCTCCATGCTTCAAACTATGGTTATGGCATCACATGGACATGGCGGTCCCCATTACGATCAAGTAAATGCTAAAGCTTTGAAGCTCCCTTTTATGTTTTCTTTTTGGACAAAAGAAGTTGAAGTTCTTTGTATCACATTCTGATCTGTTTTTTTCCCTGGAAAATAAAATTTCCATTTGCAGAAACGTTATGGCCCTGGAAGCCTCAAGGTTAACCGTAAGTAAACAAAATTTTCCTCTTTCAAAGCTTTCTTTTTTTTAAATATCTGGTCTGACAATGACTGGTGAAATCTGAAGCTTTTTCAAAGCCCAGTTGAAAGTTGAAACATGGTCAATCTCATAAGGACTAACAGTGTATTTATGTTGGTGGAATGAAATGACCAGAATGCCCATCGGAGTGCACAAGGAGATGTAGCCAGACCCAGTACCACAAACCATGCATGTTCTTCTGTCAGAAATGCTGCAGGACATGCCTGTGTGTGCCCCCAGGGTATTACGGGAACAAACAAGTTTGCCCTTGCTACAACAACTGGAAGACCAAGGAAGGAGGCCCCAAATGCCCTTAAATTTAGTACACCAAGAAAACCCCTTTATTTTATTATTATTTCCTTAATTATTATGGTTAAGCATGAAGTTGTTGCACTGTAATGCTAACTTTATATTTATGATGTTGGTTGTTACTGGTGGGTTTATGTAGTTTTTGGATCTGGGTTTTGTACCAATTTGTGTCACCCCATTAAATGAGAGTGGCTAACCTTTGCTCTACTTATTAATGAAGATGGCGTTATTTATCTAGAATCTACCCCCATTCTTTTGGAATTTGGCAAATCTTACTATTTTATCTTTCTTTTGCCAGTTAATCTGTTTGAATTGAATTTTCAATTTGAGTTTTAATCTTGATAATGAAAAGAAGAAGAAAAGAGAACATGTAAGCACATGCAAACTGACCCCAAGAATGGTTGGTCAGCATTCAATGGATTGGTGGGTCAGTTTACATCTTTGAAGTTAGGACCAACTAGATTTGGGTGATTGTATTGAATATTCTATTAAAACATCAGTTGTGGTGGCATTGATGGCTGCAAAGCACAAATGCTTAATCTTGAAGAACAAATCAAATACCATAGAACTCCAATTGATGTTTCAGATCCCTTTTGCACCTTTGTGGTCATTCAATAATGATACTATCATTTGTATTAAAAAGAATGATGCTTGTGTTTAATGACGTACCCAAAATTTAATTTTAAAGAAATAAACTTGCAAAATTTTATTTTAAAAAATAAACTTATAGGGACGAAAATTTCCCGTTTATCTCCAAAAACATTTGGAGGATACAACTATAGGCAATGGGGTTGTGTCATGCGCATCGGTACCTACTGATCGGATACATATGTAGTTTCATCAAGGCATCAGTACCTACAAATCTGAAAGTTCATATATGGTTAGGGATGCAAATGAGACGAGATAGATCGAGAGCTACTTTAGATTAACTCGGTCAAAGCTAGATAAATACTCGATTCAAATAGGCTCGAATCTTGCTCGAGCTCGACTTGAATTCTTAACGAGCTGAAACAAACTACTTGATAATCGACTTGAAAAGATCGTGAACAACTCAAATATATAATATATTAAGATTTATTTTTAAAAATAAATTATTAATAATATTAACATTATGTGTCGATTTCTTTTAAAAAAATTGCAATATAAGATTTTCATGTATTTAAGGTTCATGTTTGAGTTTGAGGGTTCAATCGAGTTATGTTTAAGATTTTTTCCATATAAATAAGGATGAACATGAGTCGGCTTAGGTCAGGTTTTTGACCAACCCGACCTGACCTGGAAAATTTACACCATCCACTCGACCCAATTTTAGGGTGACTTCACCAGACCCGAACCCGACTTGCCTTTTGAGATAAAATCCGAATTCGATCCGAAACAAATATATTTATAAAATATTAATTTTATTTGATAAAAATAGGGATCTAATTGAAAAAAATAAAATAGAGATAGTATTACTACAATTATACCTATAAGGTATAATGATATTAATTTTGAGTCAGGTTGGTCGAGTATTGTTTACCTTAAACCCAAACTCAAATCGACTTAAACATATTCTCTAAAAGATCTGACTTGACCTGAACCTATATTTTTTTTTAAAAAAAACCTAACCCAATAGGATCAGATCTAGTCAGAATCCCTCGGATTTGGGTCGTGTCCCTACATATAAATTACTTAGATATGTTATTAAAACTTAAGGATTGTTTTGATTATTTTTAATGAGATACTATACTTTTCTAAATATTTATTTTTAATTATATTTAATTTTTTAAACAAAAGTTAAATGTGTGAATCACATTCCTTACTAAAAATATTATAAAATTATATATATATTAAATTTTTAAAATAAATTATTTTGATATATATATTTAAAAAATTAAATTGTTTAATTTCTTGTTAAAATTATTGCTTAAAAATATTGAGAAAAATATAAAAATAGTAATAATTGAGGGTCAAATAAGATTTTTTTCCCATTAATTTAGCATCCTGTATGTAACACCTAAATTCTTGTATGTAACACCATAAATTCCACGTTAGTAGTTTCGGGTTAACCCAAGTGAGTCTTGGATAAATCTATTAGTCCATTAAAAGCATTTGGCCAAGTTTGAGTTTGCTTTGGGCTATGATTGAGCTTAATAGGCTATAAAAAAGGGTGTTTTTTGTTTAGGATCAAAGTATGAGGAATCAAAAGTGTATTTATCCCATTGATAAAAATGAGGCAGATATTTTAGTGTTTTAAATTAGATTTAAGTGTAGGTTTTAAAAAAAAGGAAAAAAGATAAACACAGTGTTCATTATCTTCTTTTCCTTTTTCTTCAATTTCTTATTTCATCTTATTCTTCAAGATTTAAAGAGGGGGATAAGGGCTTCTTATATGTTCCATTTAGCTCTTAATTCGTTCTTGTGCCTTCCCACAACTTGTTTGGTAATGAAAAAGCTTTGATTTCTTGTTATGGAAGAGGAAGTGGATGTGAAGCATCCCATTTCACGATGAGAAGGATGAAGTCAGTATAGCTAAGGAAATGAGATTTATTTTGGGATTCTCTAGCTAAGGTAGTGTATTTCTAATCTTTTGTGGTGTTATGGATTCCATAATCATAATGCTTTATTGAGGATTTATGTATTTGAGCATATAGGGTTTTTGCTTGTTTCTTGCCCTTAATGAAGTTTTTGTTAAAAAGGTTTTTATAAGTTAATGTTTTATAGTGCTATATGACCCTAAATAACTCCCATAAGCTTTAGGAGTTGATTTAGGACCAAACTATGGTGTTTGAGAGGATAATTGAGTGTTTCCCAAGCTTAAATGAGATATTTATGAGTTTGTGTATCGATACTAGATGAACGGTATCAATACTAGATGAACTAAGATGATTCATGGGCATTTTTATAAGGGCAGTATCGATACTTCAAGGTGGAGTATCGATATTGCTCCTCTAGTATCGATATTGAGGGTGTCAGTATCGATACTAGAGTATTTTTGGCACTTCGAAGCTATTTTTTGATACCGACACTCAATGGAGTATCGATAATTAACTAGGGAGTATCGATACTACATGTAGAGTATTGAAACTACCTAATTTGAATGGTTAAATTCGAGGTGTTCAAATTTTTGAATTAATTCGGTTAACCGACCGAACCGAATTAGTTCGGTTAATTTGGTCGGCCACCGAATTAGTTCGGTCGGTTAATGGTTAAGAAAATTTTTAGAATTCGATTAACGGTTAATTCGGTTCGAAATCGGTTAATTAACCGAAATTAAATTTAAAATTTTAAATATATTATATATAACATATGAGCTCAACTCAAACCATTTAAAACTCAATTAATAATTTAAGATCCAATAACTTTTAAACCTAAATCATATTAATTGATTAAAAATTTATATAAAATTTTATTTTATAATTATATATTATTTAAATTAATTGTAAACTATTTTTTTGAATTAAAAATATTAAATATATTATATATAACATTGGGCTCAGCCCAAACCATTTAAAACCCAATTAATAATTTAAGATCCAATAACTTTTAAACCTAAATCAATATTATTAATTAAAAAAATTATATAAATTTTTTATTTATAATTATATATTATTAAATTAATTATAAACTATATTTTTAATTAAAAAATATTTAGTTTTATATAAATTAGAAAATTTAAAATTTTTCGGTTAATTCGAAAATTAATCGAAATTTATTCGGTTCGGTTAATATTTTCATAAAAAAGTTCAGTTCGGTTAATGGTTAAAGAAAAAAAGTTTGGTTAATTCGGTTAATGGTAATTCGGTTCGGTCGACCACCGAATTAACCGAATGAACAACCCTACTCGTAGCAGTAGGATTTAACTTGAGAGAGGCTTAAACGGTTAAAAGTGGCTAGAAATACTCTTAGGAGTAGATTATGACCAAAACAACCTTAATGGGTGTAATACTTCCAAGTATCTTCAATCGAGCATGTATCGAGTATTTGAGAATCAAAGGATCATTACGGATGTTATGCCCTCAAGCAAAATGAAGAAACATATGAATAGTGTGATAGAAGGAATCGAGTACCTCATGAACATCGATAAATAAAAAAAATGTGAAAGTAGCCCCATCGGCCCAAAGGTTAACCGTTGGAAAGCATGTTAAGAGCGACTAATGAGTCATTATCAGTAAACTAACCCTAAATTGAGTGTCAAGCTATTAATAATATAACAAAGGGGTAAAAATGAATATTAATTTCCTTAAGGGCATAAAACATTAAATAACTAATAAGCCCTTGCGTAACATTCTTGATAAGAGTGGCGAGATAATGTTGAGTGAGGGGATGACCTCACCAGTTTGTGATAAGTTATGATAGTGAGTAGCTAAGCTACCTTGTTGCCCTTGTGTAGCATTGATTAATGTGTGTCGAGACGTTTAGCTCTATATAAAAGCTTGGTAATAAAGATGATATAATAATATATTTGTCATAATCATAAGAACCTTTATGAGATAAGATTCCATAAGACTCATGCCTTTGTTTGTCGCTTAGGAAACAATGAGGACCTCGAGTTACTTATATGTGTGTATCGCTTAAATGATTGAGAAATATTTGGATATATCATAGTCAGCACGAGGGAACTTTAAATGGTAGTTGGATGTCACCTGATGCTTCTTGACATAGACACGTCTCGAGTACTCTAAAGGAGTAAACTAGCCGAGTGTTAGATGATGATGCTCCGTGACCCAAATCTCACCCTAGTTACATGGCAGTGAGGGCCAATTGGATATAAGATGATGATGCTTTGTGACCCAGATCTTATCCAAAGTACCTATATCGTAAGCTAAAAGGGTGTAAGTTCTGTGATGTCAATTTGACCCCAAACTATACCATGATGCTTACTGTTGTCTATATTAGTATTTGACAACTATGAGAAATCGAGTACTATCATTGTGTTTTTATGTTGCTTTTATAATGTATAGTGGTATACATGTGGTTAGAGAAATATATGCATATACTCATGGCGAGGCCCTTAGTAGAGGACTAAGGGAAGCATGAGACCTTCACTTTAGTGACAGAACAATTGACTTAAGCATGTAGCACTTGATTAGGATCATGCATGCACTTACTACTTATTGTCATATCTCTTAGCATGTTATTATTTATGAGACTCATAATGTGATTTAGATTAGTTATTATACTAATGGACTTTATAAGCTTAGCTTTCAGGTATTTCTATTTATAGGTTAATAATTGAGCCATTCGAGGATCG